AATTAACTTTTAAAGATCACATTGAGGGCATTCAAGCCAAATGTAACAAATATATAAAATGTTTGTATCCTCTTATAAACAGGAAATCCAAACTTTGCCTGACGAATAAACTTCTAATATTTAAACAAGTTTTTAGACCGGCCATGCTTTACGCTGTACCAATATGGTCTAGTTGCTGCACTACCAGGAAAAAAGCACTTCAAAGGATTCAGAACAAAATTCTGAAAATGATTTTGAAGTTGCCTCCCTGGTACAGTACAACCGAAGTACATAGAATTTCGAATGTTGAGACTTTAGCACAAATGTCCAACAAAATAATGAATAATTTCAGGCAAAAATCGTTGCAATCCTCAATTGCAACGATTAATTCCCTTTATACTTAGATAAGATTTAGTTTTAGTTTTTAGTTTTAAGATATCAATTGTTATACTGACATGCAGGTTAAAAAACCTGTTTAAAATACTGAATTGCCAAGACATGAACAATGTAAAAACACTTAGATATATATCATAACAATTAAGGCTGGTACGTTACTGCAGTAACTGGAGCACCTAGGTTAAAATGAAATGTAATTTATTTTGAATTTGGAACAAATAAAGAGTTAAAAAAAAAAAAAAAAAAAAAAAAAAAAAAAAAAAAAAGAAAGATCAAGGAATAAGACTTGTCATAGACTGTAAAGTCTCTATCAATAAATTAATAATTCCTAACAAATATCCACTACCTTGACCACAGGATTTGTTTGCTGCACTCTCTGGCTCTGGGGTATTCTGCTCTTTGGATCTTGCTGGAGCTTATTCTCAGCTTTTGCTTTCAAAGCGATCAAAAAAGTTTATGGTGATCAACACCATAAAAGGGCTTTATGTATATAACAGGCTCCCGCAGGGTGCATCTTCGAGTGCCGCAATCTTCCAGAAAGTAATAGACCAGGTACTGAAAGGGTTAGACAATGTATTCTGTTACTTAGACGACGTTCTAATTGCTGGGAAGGATTTTGACGACTGCAGAAGGAAGCTTTATTTGATCCTAGAAAGATTAGCTAGGGTCAACATAAAGGTAAACTTTAAAAAATGCAAGTTTTTTGTGGAAAAATTGCCTTATCTGGGTCATGTTTTGACCAACACTGGTCTTCTTCCATGCCCGGAGAAAGTGGAGACAATTCGTGAAGCTCGCGCTCCACGAAATGTTACGGAACTTAAGGCTTTCTTGGGTTTGATAACATATTACTCGAAGTTCATCCCAAATTTGTCCTCCCGGATTAGAGTTCTTTACAGACTTTTGAAAAAGAATGTACGTTTTGACTGGAGTACTGATTGCGAGTTGGTTTTCAACCAATGTAAGCAGTTTTTGCTAAAACCTAACGTTCTAGAATACTTTGACCCTAACAAACCTGTGATTGTTGTCACTGATGCATGTAATTATGGCCTCGGAGGAGTTATTGCTCACCTGGTAGATGGAGAGGAAAGACCAATCTCTTTTACCTCATTTTCGCTTAATGATGTTCAGAAAAAGTACCCGATCCTTCACCTAGAGGCACTGGCTGTCGTTAGCACAGTTAAAAAGTTTCACAAATTCCTATACGGAAAGAAATTTACAATCTACACTGACCACAAGCCACTGATTGGTATCTACGGGAAGGAAGGTAGTAATTCTATTTCGGTTACTAGGCTACAGCGCTACATAATAGATCTTTCAATCTATGATTATGACATAATCTATAGACCATCAACAAGAATGGGGAACGTGGATTTTTGTTCACGGTTTCCGATTTCTCAGGAAGTTCCCAAGGAGTTGGATCGTGATTACGTCAAAAGTCTCAACTTTACTGGAGATTTACCGCTGGACTATAAGAAAGTAGCTGCTGAAACAGAAAAGGATGAATTTCTTCTGATGATCATGGAGTATTTGCGGAAAAGTTGGCCAGATCGTTTAGAAAGGAAGTTCCTGGACGTTTACTCACATTACCAGGATCTGGAGGAAGTCAACGGTTGCATGCTCTTTAAGGATAGAGTCGTGATTCCGCATTCCATGAAAAGGGACGTGTTGAAGCTGCTTCATCGGAATCATTCTGGCATGCATAAGATCAAGCAGCTGGCCAGACGAACCGTGTACTGGTTCGGAATGAATGGAGATATTGAGGAGTTTGTCAGATCTTGTCGAGTTTGCCAAGAAACTACTGCTGTTTCTAGACGTCCACCATATTCGCCTTGGATTCCCACAAATAAACCGTTCAGCCGGGTTCATGCTGATTTTTTTTTTTTAGAAAAAGGTTTTCTTGGTGGTAGTGGATAGCTACACCAAGTGGGTGGAAGTTGAGCAGATGAAGAATGGCACGGATAGTAGGAAAGTTATCAAGGTTTTTCTCAGTATTTTTTCTAGGTATGGTTTACCGGACGTGCTAGTCACAGATGGTGGCCCACCGTTTAATTCTGAGCATTTTGCTATTTTTTTTTAATAGTGCGCCTAGTTAAAGATGTATTGAAAAAGTTCCTGCTTGACCCAGAAATAAGAAAACTGGACGTGGATGAACAAATCTCATATTTTCTTATGAATTACAGGAACATTTGCTTAGGTTCAGACAATACATTCCCCTCAGAACGCCTTCTTTCATACAAACCAAAAACAACGTTGGATTTAATTAACCCGAAAAACAGTTTTAAGTATAACCTAACAGAACCAGATATTGGCGACCAACATGCATGTTCCACTAACACAGACAAGACTCATGACCTATTGACTAATTTACGTAAAGGAGACTCAGTATTTTACAAGAACCCAAACAAAACTGACATAAAACAATGGTTACCAGCTAAGTTTTTAATGCGCATTTCTGCTAACGTTTTGCAGATTTCACTAAGCGGCCGGATCATTTCCGCACATAAGCGTCAGCTTAAGATCCCTTTAAACTCTCGCCCTCGTTATTCTCGTCGTTTTGTTTTACATGGAGAGAGTACGATACAGCCTACAGTAGAGCCAAGCAGCAGCACTGGTTTACGCAACAGCAATAAACGGAAAAGAGGCGAGGAAGATATGTCTGAAGATTCCGATTCAGATTTTTTACGGTTTCGCTGCCGACTCCTTTTTGTTTGAGGAGGATGTCCAACCCACTCAGAAGGTGGTACCTGAAGGTACCGCGTCGAGTTCTAAACATCAGATGCGTGAAGGGCCCGTTCCACAAGCGAATGATCGAATCTTTCAGGAAATCTTACAGGTTAGGCGTAGTAAAAGGAATCCGCGGTAGCGAAGAAGACAAGATTTTGTATACTATTGAATAGAAGAAATTTTTGTAATGTATCATAAGAATTTAAATGTTCTATCGCATGTATTTGATTGAAGTTTCGATTTCCAAGCACATTTATTGAAATTTGCTCTCTGAAGTTATTTTATATGTTAAGAAATAGACTCAAGAATTAGTAGCTATTTGATTAGGTTCATTTTGAATTTTTAAGAGTTTTTTTTCTAAAGGAGGAAGGAGCTGTAGTGGCAAGATCCACTCGGTAAAATGGATAATCCCGCTGGTAGGGCTCTCAAAGCCGAACTGAACCTGAGTGTCGCATGAGTGGAGCAGGGCATGAGCTATGTATCGAATAGAGAAAATATATTGTCTTTTTACTTTGACTGTGAACCAATGAAGTCGTGTTTATTACTCACTGAAGTAAATGTCTGAAACCCATATTAGGATTATAACAAGTACAACTGACAGTTCACTCTCATATGAATTTCTGCTTTGTTTATGTTTACATTCAGCACCATTAACACCAGATGACTCACACACTTTTGATTTCTAGCTGTCGGTTCCACTGAAAAACGTCTCTTGGATCACCTTTTTTTGTAAATTTTCCATCTGTCAAATTTAAGTGAAAATTCACTAAATGGAACACAGCCCTAAAACATAGAGTTAAACGCTGGCCAGACTGAGCAGTTATAACATGTTATAACGGTTGTCAAATAATGGCAACACAGAAACCACCATCAAGAAAGCGCTATAACATGTTATAACTCTGTAGTCTGAACGTACTATTACCTCTATGCTAAAACACTACTGCCACGCTGTCAATGACATTCACTTTAACAGACGCACCTGTTGCTGCTCCACGAACACGAAAACAATACCAAATCCAAGATTTGATCAAATCATTCCGGGAACTGAAAATCTAATTAAGCTCCTGATTGCATTATCTCAATGCAATCAAGGGAATCTTTTTTCTACCGGCTCAAATCGGAGCACACCTTAACTATCTCACGACAGATAATTTAATTTGCATTCGAAATTAAATTGCAAGAACAATAATGATAATGGTATTAAGCTACAAGCAGAATAAAATTGAACCCCCCGTCGCCATGTGTAGAAGATCGGTAGAACGTTTGACAGACATCAGACTAAATCGGTCCGCCATCAGCCAACATTTGACGACCGATCTTCTATACAGTGCTGGTAATAACATTACTTTAATACTGCTCGAAGTTTACCATCATGCGAACGAAGTTTAATTCAAAATAATTCGATAAACTCAATTTCAAGCTTCCGTGAATGACAATTCAACTTGTTGAAGATGCTCGGCGGAACAAATAAAATCGAATTTGGGTAAAAACAAAGCATGCTTTGGATCCTTCTTTGAATTTATTGCTAATCCAGAGATTTATTTCCGTTTTACGGATTAAATTCAAGAAGAATAAGTTCCACCGCAGCAGCTGTCAAATAAACAAGGCTTCAATGAATCGCTAGCAAAAATAATTCAAATTTGTCAGTGCATACTATGATTTTTTTAGAACTGAGCACATTTTCATACTGGCGGTAGAACAATGACAGCTGCGGGAGAATTCTACGGTAGCCGCCAGATCCTGCACCAGATGGAAATTCATCTTAACATCAGCAATATCTTGTTTTTGGTACGCCGTTTAGGCGAATTTACGATGCAGGAAGGAACACCATGACAGACAAGCATCAAGGACCATCATCGAGGAAGATTTGCCCGCATCAGCGTTAAGCGAAACTGACTTACCGTGTTCAAAATGTGCAACGGTGCCCAGCAGACAAAGAACTCCATGATGATAACAAATAGCATCCGGATAACCTGCGGGTAAAGTTAGTTCGCGGGGGTGAGGATTATGTGTGTTCTCCGAAAAATGTTGTTCAGCTAATTTCATACGAACCTTCTTCTTGGCTTCGATGCTTTTGTCCATGTAATTCGACCGGATGGCGTGTCGCGAGAAGGATGAGCTCATGGGGAGAACGGGTGGGTCGGGGCTGGTAATGGGGGTTGCCGTTGTTACCGTCATCGAGAGGCCCTTATCGCCAGCCGTCGTCGTCGTCGTCGTCGTTGAGTTTGAGGATTCTCGAAATCGGCTACCCACGACCAGCGCCGGTGTCGACACAGATGATGTTGTTATCCTGTCGTTGAGGACTGTTTCCGACGTAGGGGTGGTCGTGGATGTCGCTATCGTTGTCATCGTTGAAGAAGCCGAAAGATTATTCAGCTGCATCATTTGTGATCCGGTACAGTTCAAATATGACGGTGGCGGAGAAGGTGAGATGATGGTGGTAGAATTGAGGGCGATTATCGGCTTGGAGCACTTGGGTCGGTGGGACTGGTTGGGAGGATAAAAGAGAACATTATTAAGATTAACATTTATGAAGTACTGATGAGAGACCGAATGGCGGTGGTGAATGCTTTGTCGGATTTTATGATTATGGACACAAGCACTAATAACGCATACGCAACGATTCAGTGCATTATTGCATTGTAACAAGTACCAATAATAAGGCATGTAACGAAAATGTGGCAGTTTTCAAACACATTTTTCACAAAACCGTTAAAGGGAAATATGGCATGCAATATGTCATTCGACGGAGAATTTTTTGGTGTATAGTACAAATAGTGAAAATAGATAAACAATTGAGAAATTCAGCTAACAAAATAGGAACATTTCGCGAACCAATCAGAAGAGCGGTTGGACGGAAAAAATCTTTATTCAGCACGGACAGCACTAATGAGGCCATGCAAAAATTTGTCTCCCACACAGCGTGGTCAAATTCACGGATTTATCCGTAGATGGGTTTTTAGAATGATTACAGATCTACGGACGGGGACGGACCATAAAGTTCTCCGGAATTCTCATAATTTTGGCTCACCCCCCGCTAACTTTTTGAATGATGTTATTTTGCAAATGCTCATTAGATTTAGCAAAATTTAATGCAGTGGATACAAATTTACCTATTTACGGTTCGTCCTCCATGACAAGTTAACAACACTGCTCCGATAGTGCATTCTGGCAACACGGTAGGGGTTGATCTGATCGGAACTCGCTGATAACGCCAGAAAAGAGGAAGAGCAGTGGAAGCACAGACAAACAGACGTAACTCTTCATTGTGTATCTTCGTTCATGCATTTAACGGTTGATTTGAAGATTATCAGTTCCGCGAACTACTCACTGCAGCGCTGGCATCGGATCACTTGACCATTCTATAGAACTTTTATGCAATATTGTTTACGAGTTAGCGAGCAAGCTTGTTTTCCGCGAGAAGCCAGAGAGATGTCGTTACTGAGGTTATATGTTTAGTGATACTATGTTTTCAAGAACAAGTTTTTCAAAGAGTTACGTCTGTTTGTCTGTGGTGGAAGTGTTCGTTCACAAAAGTGTCAGCCATATCGCTTTCACTATCAGTTGCTGTCGCCAGATAGTCGAGTTGGTTGGAGCAAGCAGATACCGACTCAGGGAATTGAAATCAACGATTCAGATAAAGATTATGTCATTCTCATTTTGGGCACACTCATGATCATTACAATCCCAAAAATCACAACGGACAGTTCTGGAAACGATAATGCGATTATCATTTGTGTTACAGATCATGATCATATGGAATTGCGATAGTCTCCCATCATCATCATCAACTGTCGTCACTGAAAATTCCCCATATAGGGTAAACGCACCAATAGTGGAGGTACGTTGGAAAGGGGATGACGTACACGGTAAGGAAAAAGCACCCAAAAGTAAGTTCTTTTCACTCATCTCGGCACTATAGCGCAGGAACCCAAAAGTAGGTAAAGCGGTTCAAAGTAGTTTGCATTTACTTGTGTACAATTCGTATGAAATTTTCCTCTCGTTTTCTACCCAAAAGTAAGTTAATTGTACTCAAAAATTGGGAAAAATGTTAATGTCAACGTTGGGTTCCCCTACTTTACTCTTCCGTTTTTGAGAAGGAGAAAAGGAGACAAACTAGTCAAAAGTAGGTGACAGTGTACGTTGCGTACTTTTGTCTTACCGTGTATAGAGATTGGAAACCGATATCCACCGCCATTTTGAAATTCAAGATGGCAGCCATCGATTTAACAAAAAACTGTCAAATACCCTGCAATATGCGTATTTTCGGAAAAGGGATGCAGATGGAGTTCAACATGCAGATGTAGAAAATTGATGACTGCCGTAATTTTGGAATCCAAGATGGCGTCTTTTGGTTTTTGAAACAAACTGTTCCCAACAATAAACTGTTTTTGAAACGGGGATTATATGTAGGTGTTAGAGATATACCCTATAATATGGGTATGTTTAGCAATTTTTACTAGTTTATTTACAGTTTTCTCTAAAGCGAATGGCCGCCACCTTGGATTCCGAAATGATGGCAGACATCGAATTTCGACATCTACCCGTCCTTCCGGTTCCAAAAATGATAATCCATGATCTCAGATTTACACTGATCACGATTCTGTTTAGGGATCGTTCATTAATTATGGCACACTTTTAGGGGGAGGTGGGGGTGTGGGGGGTGGTTTGGAAACTGTGACGAGCCATACAAAAAAAAAATTAAGGTCCATACAAAAAATGTGACAAGGGGGGGAGCGGGGGTTGAAAATTGACCAAATTTGCGTGACATAATTAATGGACCTCGCCTTACTAGTGTTTGTTATTGTCGGTAAGCATAGGAAGATAGGATAGGTTCGATATGTTTTTATGACAGGTGGGCAGGAACTCACGGTCTCCCAGTGTTGATGACTTCTTTGCCGTTAATGTTCACGAAAAGTTCACGATTTTGCCATAGAGAAATTCAAAACAAACAGTTGTATGGGCGGATTTGAACAGTTTTTGACCTGTTTCATACGACCGGAATGCTGGTCACAAATGCCGTGCCAAACTGATTTCTTACGCAATGCATCAACCTTTGATGTTAATTTCGCTAATAAACACGAGGAGCATTTCTTATAGCAAAACTTGCCATTACAAAATGGGCATAGTTCATTTTAGTAAACAAACTAATACTTCTTCCTTGTGTGTCACCCTTCATGCAGCTCCTACACGGTAAGAAAAAAGTACCCAACGGCCAGTTCACTTTTACCTACTTTTGACTAGTTTGTCTCCTTTTCTCCTTTTAATGTTGTCAAAAACGGAGGAACCCAACGTTGAGTATAATCATATTTACCTACTGTTGGGTACAACTAACTTACTTTTGGTTGAAAAGCCAGTGGAAAATTCCATACGAACTGCACACAAGTAAATGAAAATTACTTTGATCCACTTTACCTACTTTTGGGTTCCTGCACTATAGTGCCGAGATGAGTGAAAAGAACTTAATTTTGGGTACTTTTTTCTAACCGCGTAGGAATAAGTTACCGTCAGAGTAGCGGGAAAGAAAGAGGAACGGAAATTTTCGTCCATAAATGCTTCTGTCAAATCGCATACACCATCAGCTCGCTGCCAGACTGTTGAGCAGTTCAGTCGATTTTTATTCTCTCTCGTTTCGTTCGTTCGTTCGTTCGCAAATCGAATTAGCTCCGCGTTGTGTGGTGCCGCTCTCGCTGACCACGCCATGGGTAAGAAATCGTGCGGTAACGGGAGTACCGGTTTACCGGGAAAACACCTTCCCCCAGGAGACGGCTCGACCATCGAGCCAGCCCAGAAGAAGAAGAAGAAAACCCCATTGCCCGTCCCGACGGGAGTTGCGGACCCGAAGCCGGGGCCTCCCGGAACTAAACGACCCAGACCTGAAGACAGCAGCGCCACCGCATCGGCAGCAAAAAAGCTGCTGAGCAACAATCCGTTCTCCGCCCTGCAGAACGGAGCCCAGCCGCAATCGGAACCTGAGACGGTGCCGAAAAAAGTGAAGTTGCCACCCTTCTATGTGAAGGGCTTCCCTCCCGGGCTGTGGGAGCAGCTGGATTACTACATTAAGGAGGGCCTTCGTTGCACCATTCAACGGTGCACGAAGGCTACAAACTGATGGTCCCAGCCGAAAAACACTACAACGCAGTCCAGGCCTTCTTGGACAGGATGAAGCTGGAGTACTTCTCCCACGACGTCGAGGCCACCAAGCCGCTGAAAGAGGTGCTGCGCGGGCGAACGGCCTCAAGCCGGTCGAAATCCACAAGATGACCCGCAGCAAGGCCATCAAGTATCGTGACCAGCTCTACCTGGTCCATCTGGAGAAGAACTCCACAACCGTGAAGAATCTCCAGACGACACGCACACTATTCCACATCGTAGTGAAGTGGGAGCGGTATAAGCCGACCCACCGTGGCGTCACTCAGTGCTCGAACTGCCTATTGTTCGGGCACGGCACCAGGAACTGCCGCATGGCCAGCCGCTGCATCAAATGCGGCAAAAACCACAAGATCGACGACTGCGACAGCATCGAGGAAGCCACTCCCACATGCGCCAACTGCGGTGCCGCCCACAAGGCAACGAGTAAGGCCTGTCCAAAGCGGGCCGAATACGCCGAGATCCGGAAGAAGGCCTCGTTTAACAACCAGCCCGGTCGCAAGAAGGTACCGGAAAACAACGCGCAGAACTTTCCTCCGTTATCACCGGTTCAACCACGGCCAATTCCAGTGTTGCCGCCGCTCCCGCTCAACCCACAGTTGGCTGCTGCCCAGTCGGCTGCCGCTGCAGTACCCGGTCAAGCCTCCGGGCCATCGACGGATCCCCTTGCTCCGCGATTGGCCGGTACAACCGGCGAAGCTACAGACAATTCTCCGCTGTCAACGGATGAGATCGTCACACTGTTGGCCCAGGCCATCATCATCAAGCGCACCTGCGCTACAAGAACACAACAGCTCCAAGCTATCATCTCCTTCGTCGCTAATTATGGAACGTGAAGCCATAAAGATCGCCAACTGGAACGCTCGCTCCGTAGGGTCGAAAAACATTGAGCTTGAAGACTTCCTCCGCAAGCACGACATCGACGTGGGCCTTCTCACCGAGACCCACCTCAAGACCGGTGACAGCTTCTGGCTGCCCGACCACAGCATTGTCCGGCTTGATCGTCATCATCAAGAAAGGCATCAAGTACTGCACCCTACCCCACTAACGCACTTCCATCATCGAGGCCGTCGGCGTAGAGGTGGAAACATCGACCGCAAACGTCCGGTTCATCGCCGCCTACTGCCCCCGGCAATGTACCGTTAGCAATGGTACAGCACAGCAGTTCAAGAACGACCTTGCCATCATAACCCGCACCAGTGCCCGCTTCGTAATCGGAGGAGACCTGAACGCCCGGCACGAGGCCTGGCGGAACTAGCAGCAGAACCAGAACGGCCGCCTACTATTCGACCATTCCCAGCATGGTCTCTCTTCCGTCTGGTTTCCGGCCGAACCAA